CTGCCCTTGTGTGGTTGGAGGCCCTGCCAGGCTTCCCCAGGGCTGCTGGACCCTCAAATCCCTGGCGAAGAAGAAAGGTTGGAATTGGAGCCTGAATTGGAGCCTGTGGCTCATCTGCAAGTGGCTAACCTGGCTGAGCTGCAGGTTCCCTGCCTGTGAAATGGGTATGACAACCCCTCTCATGGTTGCCACAAAGACAAAGAGATGGAGATGCCACCCAGGGCCCCTGAGTAGGACACAGTGGGGCATGAGAGAGAAAGAGAGGGAGGCTTCATAGTCTTGCATGTAGAAGGTTGTGTTTCTCCTTTGGGGGTGACAGTGGGTGAGTTCCTATCTGTGACTGGGGTTTTTCTGCTCTATTTCCTCATGGGGAGGGAGGACTCTGGCCCTCAGTGGCTGCAGGCATTTCCCGTGGTGTCCTGCCTCTGCTGACCTCAGTGGTGTGATCATAACACTTTGAGAAACTGCTCAGAGTCAGTCGTAGCCTGCCACGACTCTTGGATTTACTGCTCAGGAAGATGGACGTACCATGGCTAATTGTAGGTCTTCCTGATGTGTCCGTAGCACCTCCCTGCAGGCGGCTGTTTGCAAGCCGAGGGTGTGGGTGACAGTATTTTTTGCTCAAAAACAACTTAAGTGGGGCAGCTCCAGCCATTTGGATGAGCAGGGGTCAGGGAGCATTATATCCTGCCACCTGGCTGGCCCACTGTTACCCAGTTCCCTCAAAATACCAGCCCATTTAGGAAAGGCTGTGGCAGTCAAACTCTCCTGCCCTGGATAAAATTTTCCACTGGGAAATATTTGGTGATGGGTCAGGGGCAAGGAGGCTGCAGCAGCCCAATTCCACCATACCTGCGTCCCCCTGAGATGTCGGAGGAAGGACACCACTGTGGGCCAGGGCTGACAGGTCAGTACACAGGGCCATTTGAGCGCATGGCTGCATGCATGGTAGACAGAGGCAGCTCCTGAGCCTCAGATGGCTCAGATGTAGTGTCTTCAAGGACAGGAGTGGTTGGGGCGGTGCCAGGTTTCATTCCTGTGTTTCTATAACCAAGGACCAGGCAAAGAACCAGGACACATTCTCCAAGCGGGGGGCTCCCTTGCAGTGATTCACCAAAATGAACGTAAAGCCAGGAGGCCACGTGAATTTAGAAACCTCCCAGGTTACCACCTCTTGGATCCTTACCCTTTACCGAATTAGTATCATCTTTGCTGAACTTGCACACGAGGGAATTTTGAACACTTTTTCGCAGGGCATCTCAAAGTGTGGCCCCCAGACCAGCATCCATTTCAACTGGGGACCCGGTAGAGATGCAGATTCTCAGGCCGTGCCCCACGGGCCTACTAAGATGTGGACTCTGGGGCTGGCACCCAGTCTTCTGGAAGACTTAAGTTTAAGTACCACTGCATCAGCCCACTAAAGTCCTGGTATAAAGAAGCCCAGGTAGTTGACTGCCTCTCCAACTTCCGTGGCTGTGAGACCCTCTTGTGGCATGACATCTGTTTGCCCTCCTAGGAATAAGGTCTGGGAAATGGGAATGAATTTGGCCTTGGAGTCCGGTCTCACTTCTGAGGCCAAGCAACCTGGGGGTGGGTGGGGGAGGAGCGCAAGCTCTTCACAGCAGGGGGGGGGTTGTGGGCTCGGTATTGGATACTAGTGTCAAGTCCAGTCCTTGAGCAGAGAACACTGCCTGCTAAGCTATAGCTGCCAACATAATCACCCCTGGGGCCAGGATGGTCAGGTGCCACCAGTCTAGTTCCAGTATGTTTCATATGGCTTCTTTTTGCCCTTCATATTTCCTCCTGCCCCTGCCCCATAAATCTCTGGTTTGGGGATGTCAGATTGTCTTCCAATTTCCTCTGCATACTCTCACCCTCAAGGTGAATACCCTGACCACTTATGGCAAAACTCATTGCCCTGCACCGGAGGAACTGGGATCAGGCTTCTTTCCTCTGTTCTTCAGGGCAGGGGTTGTGGCTCAGTGATGGAGTGCTCATCTAGCATGTGTGGGGCACTGGGTTTGATCCTCAGCACCACAAAAATAATAAAGAAGTAAGATAAAGGTATTGTGTCCACCTACAACTAAAAAAATAATTAAAAAAAACACACACAGTCGTCTTCTTCCTATTCTTTTTTTTTTTTTTCTGCAGCTAATAACAAGTAAGGTGCTAAAATTCAACATCATGCAGATGCTGGAAATAGTGGGGATTTGGAAAAGGATCTCATTGTCTCTGATCCTCAGATTCCTGCCCTCTCTGATGATTCTGGTGAAATTCACCCTAGCAGGCAACTGTGAGAATTAAAGATGGACTCTGGACTTGTGAGCCTGGGATTTGGCATGGACCAGATGCTCAATCAATGTGGAACTGGAATCATACCACCTTTTAGGCAAAATGGCCATGCAAATTGTGGCCATCTGTCAGGACTCAATTGAATTCAAACACTGATTTTATTCATCTGTGGAGCACATGTTTTTCTGAGTATCTACTATCTATATCTATGACACCTACTGCAGATACAGAGATGAACAAGACCTCAGTATCTTGAGCGGGTGACAGACATCAGCCCCCTAATCACATAATTGGGTGTTGAGTTCACATTGTGGTTAGGACAAGAAAGGAGAAGTCTATCTTTTATAGCCAGCCCAGCCCAGCCTAGCCCAGGCCAACTAATAACTGCTTCCTTTGGATTCCCTGCTTTTTCTCTTTTTGGTTCTAGGGTTTGAACCCAGGAGCACTTTACCATTGAACCACATCCCCAGCCCTTTTTCTTTTTCATTTTGAGACAGAGTCTCCCTAAGTTGCTGAGGCTGGCCTCCAACTTGTGATCCTCCTGCCTCAGCCTCCTGAGTCACTGGAATAATAAGCATGAACCACTGCACCTGGCAATTCCCTGCTTATTTTTCTAACTGTGGATCTGACATTCATTGTCTAGCAGTGTTATTTAAGCAATTCTGAAGTATCACAAGTATTTTCTAAAGTTAGCTGTAGGCAAGGACCCGGAATCCCAGGCCACCTTTGCCCCAGTTCTACGCTGAACAAATGAGGGGAGCTCATGCGATAGTAAGATCTGCTCTCAGATCAGCCTTTCTCTCCTGGGAATGGCAACTTGGAAGAGTCATGACAGCCTCAAAAAAGTTTCCTTCCAACATGGAATTCTCTGGAATTATGCCTTACAAACAGACAGCTATTCCAAGGGTGGACAGAGGGCAGAACTGGGGTGGGATGAGGAAAGACCAGTTTACAAAATGTGGTAACTGGAGCTAATTTTTTTTTTTTTTAAGGGCTTAGGACCTGTGTTTCTCTTGAGAAATGGGTCTTTAAATATCATGGCCAAATCTGTAGTGGAAGAGACAAATTTTGTTCTTTCATCTTAGAATCCTTGGCTACAGCATTCTGAGGCCACAGTTCTTGGATGGCAATCCTAGATCCTGCTAATGACATGGAGGCTGGAGATGGAGGGCACTCGGGGGAGACAGTGTCCTGCTCTCTCTGGTTCCAGCAATGGCATCATCTGGGTGGACATTTCCCTGGGTGGTTGGATCACGGCTCTCAGCCTGTTCCCAGGGAAAAAGGTGATGAGGACCCTGTGAGTTGGAACTTTTATCTCAAATAGGGAAGGATGAGGCCCCAAGGCTGATGGGTGGAAAGAACTAAAAAGATGTGAGGGGCACTAGGGGCTGGACATGAAGTGAATGTCCGTTAGCCCCATGCGGTCTCAGCTTGTCCTTTTGCCTCAGTTTCAGGCAAATCAGGCTGGACGCATTTGTGGTGCATGCCTGTAGTCCCAGGGTTTGGGAGGCTGAGGCAGGGGGCCTGCAAGTTCAAAGCCAGCCTCAGCAAGAGTGAGGCACTAAGCCACTCAGTGAGACCCTGTCTCTCAATAAAATATAAAAAAGGGCTGGGGATGGGGCTCCGTGGCCGAGTGCCTCTGAGTTCAATCCCCAGCACCCCATGCCCCATAAAATACAGACACATCTATGAGGTTTTCATCTCCTGAACACTGGGTTCTCCAAACATCCCCCAGTGCCTCACTTCCCAGTAGCACTTCTGCTCCTTGCTCTTAGAGAACACTTTCTAAAACAGAACTGGGCTCATGTGCACACTCTGACTGAAAATCTGCCTGTGACCCTTATGATCCATGGGTTTCTCCAACATGGGGACAGTGTCCTCTGTTCGTCTGTCTGACTCCCTGGGGCCTGGCAGATAACACAAGTGAACCAGAATTTGATTGACAGATAAATGGACAGCATGACTCTCCAGGAAGTTCCTACTTACTGACCTCCCCAGCCTCACGTCCCCTGTTCCCCTTGCACGCCATGCTGTGTCACATGAGAACAGGAGACTGCTTTTAATCCTCTGACTCATCTCTTGAACTGATGAATTTTTTTTTCACGTTAACCTCCTTAAGGGGGCACACACTGTCCCCTCAAAACCTCAAGACTTGGGTGGCTCCAAGCCTTCTCCAAGTTATTCTCTCTCTCTCTCTCTTTTTTTTTTTTGTACCAGGAATTGAACCCAGGGTGCTTTACCATGGAGCCAGCCACATTCTCAGTCCTTTTTTGTATATTATTTAGAGACAGGGGCTCGCTGAGTTGCTTAGGTCCTCGCTAAATTGCTGAGACTGGCTTTGAACTCACGACCCTCCTGCCTCGGCCTCCTGAGCYGCTAGGATGATAGGTATGTGCCACGGAGCCCGGCTGGCTGCTAGTTATTCTTCAACACCAGCTTGTGCCTCATCAACGTCTTGAAGTTTACTCTCATCCCCAAACTCGGTTAGATGCCCTTTCTTTAAGCTATAGCAGTCACCTTCCCGTGGACTGTGACCTTGTATTATTTCCCGTGGGACAGCACCTGGGACAGAGTAGATGAGCACCAACTACCTGCTAAATGAATGAAGGTACAAATGGTTGCATGAACAGTGTGGCACGAGGGGACCCTGGCCCTGCAGCCCTGCGCCTTGGTCACTTCAGCCAGGCCAGAGGCAAGGGGACACTCACGTATTCCACCTCCTTGGACGGGTCGCCCAGGCTGCCGTTGGTGGTGGGCGCGGCCTCTGTGCCCTCTGGCTTCTCCTGTTGCTTCCCCTCCTCCTTGGGCAAGCCGCCCTGGCCCGGGAGGGCCACTTCTCCCACACCCAGGGCCTCGCTCTTATACTGCTTGACAAATTCTTCCATCACTTTCAGCTCATTCTCCAAGAGTCCACGGCAGCGAGAGGGGTCCTGGTCRTAGATGGGGAGCTGGTGCATGAGCTGGCGGCGGCGGTAGTAGGCACCCTCGGTGCCTGTCACCGGCTGCTTCTCCTTGGGGATGAGTTCCATGTACTGTAGGCCCTGGGGGAGGGGGAGGAAGAGACAGTGTCACGTGGATGGGGCTCCAGCAGTCAGAGAAGCTATGTCAGAAGCCACCTAAAGTGCCAAACGCAGTGTCTTTCAGTGTTCTTGGTGACTAAGCATGCACAGTCTTTATCTTTTAATTTAATGTAGCTTTTTTTTTTTTCAAATGACAAAAGCAATACCTACCTGTCTGTCATCAACAGTTAGGAATCAGATGAAGGAATCGTACAAGAAACGTGCATCTTCTAACTTGGTGTGTCTAAGAAATATTGTGTATCTGACTGCTGGTGACATGGAACTGTGGAAGTCTGTCTCAGAGTTCACCAAGCTGTAACTTCGGGATGCCCGCCTTTACTAAATGCACGCTGGACTGAGAGTTAGCATTTATACCTGGGTGTGGTGACGCATGCCCCCAACCCTGGGGACTTGGGAGGCTGAAAGCATGAGGATTGCCAGCCTCAGTAACTTGAAGCCTAAACAACTTAGTGAGACCCAGTCTCAAAATAAAAAATAAATAAAAAGGGCTGGGGATGTGGCTCAGTGGTTAAGCACCCCTAGGTTCAATCCCTGGTACCCACAAAGAAAAGAAGGAAGGAGGAAAGGGGGGAGGAAGGAAGGAAGGATGGAAGTCCTCTGTCAGTAGGTTTCGGTTTTCTGATGATTACAATAGACCATGTTCACACTATGGGAGAGAGAATAGTTCATTTATTTATTTTGTGGTGGTAGGGATGGAACCCAGGACCTCACACAAGATAGGCAATCACTCCACCATTGAGTTACCAGTCTCAGGAGCTGTCTCGTGTGTAGAAAACGTTCTAGATCTTGCTCTTGGTGAGGGTGTGGTCAGGTGAGAAAGAAAACCTTCTTTGCCTCTGTTAATTTATGCTCCGTCTGCTCACTATCTAGCCACTTCTCCACTGCTAATAGTAACTAGTAGCATTTTATTATTTATTCTTCCCAAATTGGAGCTGTAGCTTTCATTTTGGGATGGCCCTGGGAAGAGAAAGGAATCTACGTCTACTCCTTTATATTCTCATCAGAACGGTCAATAAAGACCATTTTGCTTTGTTCTCTGACTTGCAAGCAATGGTAACAATTATGATCACAACTTTTGTTCCTGTCTTCAAGTTGCTGCTTTAAAGCCTCTTTTCTGGTATCACTGGATGGACAGTAGTCAACAGAGAAAACTCTTCCAGTATAATAATTACAGTCGTGCGTTAATAACCAATCTCATATAATCCATACCCACCCAGGACTGTCTTGTCACTCATCCCACGATTGATGTTCTTAATTTCTGCCTCTGCTCCTAGAGGTGCCCTTCAGGGAGAAAGGAAAATCCTTCTTTCCTCTTGCCCCTTCTTACGCTCAGTACCATATGCTTTGGCCACTCCCTCTTCCTTAACCATTCCTGGTATGTTCAAGTTCCCCCCTCTAAAGGGACCGTCCACTCCCAAAGGCAGGCAGTGTCCTTTCTACTTTAGTAGCAAGAGGGAAGGTTCTAAAGATGGCCTGTCCTGAACCAAAATCCCAGTTCTAGGCATGCCTGCTGTGTGACTACAGCCACCTCACACCCTGCCTGTGCACAGGTTCCTCAATTGTAAAAACAAGGATCATAAAACCTAGGGTGGTTGAGGGGTTCGGTAATAGAGCATCTACACTGGGTGCATTATTGGTTTTCCCCTTCCTTTGCCTTCCTCTCTGTGTCTTTTCTATCTTTTTAAAGTCTGTCACTGCAGTCAGAGGTACCAGGGACACCCTTCAAATTGGTTTTTCTCAAGAGACACAGTGTTTGGGAACCRTGTGAAAAATTAAATGCAGATTCCCCAGCCAAGGCCTCAGTTCAGTAGGAAAGCTGTGGGGTTCGGGAATTTGCATGTTGGAAAACGTCTTATTTCAAAATGGAGATTCCCTAGGAAGAAGTGTGAATTTTATTAACAGCCAACAAGGTTCTAAATGAGCTCTCATTCTGTCCCGGGCTGTAGCCACAGATTCATGTTCTTAATGAGACTAGTACAATCTAAGTAGGGGTTCATTTCGATTTGCTGGCTCTGCAGTATGGATCTTGTTTCTTTCAAAGAAGGATATTTTTTTACTTCATTTACCTCAAGGGCAATGCTCCTAATTAAAGGGAATAAAAGGCAATCCAGTTTAAAATTGCTTTTCTTAGAAAAGTGTAATTAGATCATTATGGGCATAAGGTATTTCACGGTTTATTAATTTTAAAATATGCAAAGACACCTTCTCAGAGCAGAATCCACAACGTCTCAACTCAATAACATTTGCATATTGAAATGACTGGTATTTATTGGAATAATAAATATATTAATGTGTTCACAGACAACTGTCTGATTTAGCTTTGGGTTGTGTGTGAGTGTGTGTGTGTATTTTAAATCTTTCCCTTGATGAATCCCAGGGATGAGATGCTGCAGGGAAGATGAAGGTCTGAGGTCACAGTGTGGGAAACCAGGAGGCAGAATATTTATCCTGGATGGTGCTTTCCCATTTCTGCACCTGGCCTTGAGTCTAACCCTCACCACCAGGTGGCCTGATTCCTGTCACACAGGTGAGAGCAGCCACATTGCTCCTCTGTGATCCTGCCTGCCCATATCTCATCACCTGGGGCTGGACTCATTTTGGAACTGGGGGAATCAACATGAAAATTCAACTAAAGTCCGTCAAGAACAGTCCCCGATGTTGCCTGATTTTAGAGCACAAGGATGGTATAGTTTGGGTCTTCAGTGTCCCAGCATGGAGCTCTTGGGAGGTGGTGGAACCTTTAAGAGGCGGGGCCTAGTGGGAGGGGTTTAGGTTATTGGGGGCATGTCCTTGAAGCGGATTGTAGAAGGCTTGCCTCCTCCTTACTCTCTTGGGCCTCCTGGCCCAGGTGAGTTGAGTGGTTTTGCTCTGCCAAGTTCTACCATGATGTCCTGCCCAAAGCGATCATGGACTAGAACCTCCAAAATCATGAGCCCAAACAACCTTTTTGCCTGTATAAATTAATTATCTCAAGTGTCTGTTACAGTAACAGAAAGCTGACCAATACAAAGGAGGAAAGAATCTGGGACTGAGGCAGGTGTGAGTCCAGAGCCTGGTCCGTGCCAGATTTCCTAATGAATGAATTCTAGAGAGGAACATTCTTAGAAGCAGAGAGGCAGGTGCTCTGGGTCCCTGTAGGAGTCAGATGGAGGGTTGCTCACTCTTAGCCCTGAGGGCTCACAGCATACCAGTTAATCAATCCCAGGAGCATCTGTGTACTCCCAATTACTTTTCCAGGACACAGGAGATAGCCAGGGCAGGGGACAAAGCCCTGGGGTGGGGGTGAGGGTGTCATTAACTCTGAATTCATGTCAAGTCCTTCTGCTCTTCTCTGTGTCAGGCTGAGTAAGTTTCTAATCCTCTGGGCCTTAATTTCCCTATCTGCCAAGTTCAGGGTAAACTGCCTRATCATTAGGGTTCTGAGCACTGTGAGAAGCTAGTGGCCTTTTCTCTGGACCCATCACAACAAAGAACAGCAACACTGCTGACTCAAATCCACAGCCCAGGGAAGGATCCAGTGGTAGATCATAATCTGTTTCAGGCACTTCCCAAGTGCTTTACATATGTTTACCCATTTAATTCTCAGGGCAACCTTGGAGGAAGAGCTATTGCTACTCCTTGGGAAACTGGAGCTCAGAAAGGGTATGTAACCTTCCCAAAGCCACACAGCTAATATGTGACAGAGACATTCTTGAAATCAGCAGCTTGGGTCTCATGCCCTTCTCTGCTATGCCACCTGGGCCAGGATTGTCAATTTCCTGAATGTGTCTGTTTTTCTGACCTTTAAGGATACACACCCCACCATGCTCAGCTTTATAAATAGACTGTGTTAGGAAGCCTGGAGCAGTGGCCCAGACAGCCAAACCATTTCTTGAACGTTGCACTCAGTGTCTATTCACAGCTCCGTGTGGCCCTGGGTGTCTGTAGCTGCAGATGGGTTCCTGGCTGGGGCCCGAAGAAAGGGAGATTTCCTTCTCAGGGCCCAGTGTTCCTGCTGCAGCTCAAACCCCCAGCTGAGGGCTGGCTGTTCGTCTCTGCCTTGTCAAGGTCACGCATCTAACTGCCACTGGCCCTGCCTGGCTGGTCTGAGACTCCTGTCCTCAGTACCTTTCACACCCATGCAGACATTGCTACGGGATTATGGCTGAGGATCCCAGGGTCTCCCTCCATACATCCCTTCAGGCAATTATTGATTGGCATGGACTTGGGAAGGGGATGTTAGGGACAGAGCTTTGGGTCCCAGTAGCTGCCTGGTGCTGCTGTGACACTGTAAGCGGATCTCTAGGAAGCTGACCTCATGGGCCCAAAGTCTTTAGCAAGAGCCGTTTCCTCAGACCAGTTGGAAAGATTGCTTCAAGTTTAAATTTTTCCCAGGGACGTGTGGTATCTGGTCCTCTGCAGTCTGGTTGGGGCATTTAGGGTGGAGAGGTGTCCAGAATCTCTCTGTGTAAGGGGACATATCACAATGCTAAGAGGAAAGTGACAAGGGGCCCTATATTTCAGTTTGGGCAGTCGGTCACATCCGTCCTGAGTCAGGGTGCTCTGCCTGATTCTCCTGTTGTCAGCTAATGACGGTCACTGGGTTTCATGGCACATGTCAACCCCAGTCAATTCCGGCTACCTGGAACTCTGGTGTTAAGAAGGATCCCGAGGCTAGATAGGACTCATTGGGGACAGTGCTGTCCGTGGCCACGAATGTCTGCCATGGGTATGGGAGCAGAGGGTGAGGTGTGAAATCAGTGCCACCCTGACGTAGGCTCTTCACGAGCCTCTGGTTGCTCCTCTGTGAAATGGGTCTATAGCATCGTACTCAGCACAGGGGGATTGGTGATTGGTCATGAGGTACATTTGCAAAATGTTCAGTAGAGGCTGGCTACCTTCACCTTCTCCCTCTTGCCTCTCCCCAAATCCTGTGAGCTTGTCAGAACTTCTCAAATTACTTTCTTATCTTGAAAACCTTCCCTAAAAATGCTCACCCAGGGACTTGTTCCTTCCTGCCTCACCCCTCACCTATGAGCTCTCCCCATGGTCCAATGAGGAAGCACCTGAGTTTGGGAGGCAGGGAGGCTGGAGCTCAAGGGCTGGCTGTGTCATTTAAATCATGGGCAGAGCATTTGACTAGTTATCTCCTAAGCCTCTGTTACCACCTCATAGATGAGGGTCATGGCAGTACCTTCTACCAGAACCGGGAAATTAGATGAGGCGGTACGCAGAAGGCTCTCAGCATAGAAACTGGCACAAAGTAAATCCTCAATAAACAAGAGCAGTTAGGCTTATTGTTTCCAGCTTCTGAGGCTGATGGATTTCTCTGGCCTGCCTTCTGGTTGGGAGGGCCGACAGACAGCAAGGTTCTGTTCCATTTCCAAAATATAATCTGTCCCCATCACTTGGTAATTAGGGGGGGAAAAAAAGTTGGAAGAGGTAGCGGGAAGGGAGAATTGGCCAGTTTCAGACATGAGCCTTGCCTCGGCAGAGCAGAGGCCCGGCACACAGAGGGGCTCTTTATAGCCGTGTGGTTTTACGAGCTGGCATTAATCACCGCCTCAACACGCCTAGCCCTGATCACACTGGGGCCGAGGCGTTCGGGGTTTTCACCAGCCAGTTCCTGACACCTACAGCCAGCTCTTTTATGAGCTGCTTGCTTAGTTTCCACTGACACGTTGGAGAGCCACTTGATACCTCACCTAGACCGGGAGCGGGAGCGGGCCCATGTTCCGAACCACCTGGGCCTGGCCTGCTTCTGCTATTGCTCCAAATGCCACCCTCTAGGTTTGGGGATAGCCCCTGCCTAAGCCCCACAGACTTGCAAAGGCCAATGATTTATTTTTTTTTGCTTTCTCACATGTAGGACAATTCCCACCTTGCAGGGGGGTGAACAGTGAGCTCATGAATGCTTAAGCATTCTTTTAAATCGTGCTTCATGCTTTTCAAAGAGTGCAGTTAAAAAAGAAAAAAGCAGGGGCTGGGGTTGTGGCCCACCGGTAGAGCGCTTGCCTAGCATGTGTGAGGCACTGGGTTCAGTCCCCAGCACCACATAAAAATAAACAAAATAAAGGTATTGTGTCCATCTACAACTAAAAAAATATTAAAAGAAAAAAGAAAAAGCAACTCAGCTTCTCTTCGCTCTAGGAAGACTCCTCCACCCTCCCCTGAGGGACAGAACTGTGCTTTTCAAACTCCTTCCGGTGAAGGATCAAGGCGTGTTTGGTTTTTCTGCTCACTGTAGAATGATGTGTGGTCTCACTGCTTGTGATTAGAATGTGGCTCATGCCGCATGAGGCCCCATGAGATGAGTTTTCCTGTGATCACTTGGAGGTCAAGATGCTTTCAACACTTTCCACCATTTATTCTTAATTTCTGTACTGTTTTCATTGTGCACCCATCTTAAGGGGCTTTGGGAAATGGTTTGGAGTATCGCTGGCTGGAGGGTGACCTTCCAACAATACACCTACCATGTACCCTGCTGATCATCTCAGGTATTTTGTTGTAGCAATGGAAAGCTGGCTAATACACCTGTACTGTATTAGTTGTGGGGATGTCCTGGTGTGACAGGATGCATGCCCTCAGGCACTTTGCCTCACTCCAGGGTGGAGAATAGGGGCTAAACGAAGCACTGAGGGATGCACAAGATCATTACCGCTTATAATATAAGCTTCTAAGGAAGCAGGCCCTGAGAATGGGCCACATCCACTGTAAATTGGGCATTTAGGAAAGGCCTGCTTGACCCCTGATTGACTTGGAAAGAACTTGGCCATTCAAAGAGCACAGAAAGGACTTTTCAAGCAAAGGGAAAAGCAAGTGAGAAAAATAAGTTCTAGAACTAGAGAGAGGAAGTCACTGTGGAGGAGCCATGGAAGAAGCAGGCAGGGATACAACATGCAGGACTTCAAAGCCTCCTCTTTTCCTCCCAGAAAGATTTAAGAAAATGCCAGACTCACATCTCTCAAATTGTTGAGTCTTTTTTTTTTTTTTTTTTTTTAAGTACCAAGAATTGAACCCATGGGCACTTACCCACTGAGCCACATCCCCAGCCCTTTTTATTTTTTTATTTTGAGACAGGGTCACTAAGTTGCTGAGGCTGGCTTTGAACTTGCAATCCTGCCTCAGTTTCCTGAGCCACTAGAATTACAGCCGTGCACCACCCCACCCAGCCTATTGAACACTTTTGAATCTCGTTCCTTTGTAGAAATCATCTGGCCTCTTGCTGTTCCCAGAGAGGTCTGGGGACCAGCAGCCTCAGCATCACCTGGGAGTTTGTCAGGACTGCAGAATCTCAGGAGGGGACCCAAACCTACTGGATGTATTTTCATGAGCTCCCCGGATGATGTATGTGGATGTGGACATTTGAGAAGCACCACTTGGGTGCTCTGGTTCTTGAAGGGGACTACGGGTTGAGTTCCCCTGGAGAGTCATTTCCTAAGCTCCCACATGGTGACTACTTCTTGCTTGTGGAGGGCATATCTCAGGCCACAATGCTGTGAACACCTCACAGATAGAGATAAGCACTCAGAGAATTTTAAAATTTCCCATTCAGAAGTAAAGAGCCCCTAATGGGACAATGAGTGCCCCTGTGTTACAGCTGGAAAGCCCTTCAGAGTTCATACGGATGCCTCTACCTATTACACTGATGAGGAAAACTGAGGCCCGGACAGCCTTGACTTCAACATGACATGGTGTAGGAACAGAGTTGAAACCAAAGCTGGTCCTACCATTTGGCAGCCTTGCCCTCTTGCCCCCTCATCTTTGAAATTCAGGAACCCTCAACACAGCTCCTATTTACAAGGGCAGGAAAAAACAGCCATTTGATTGGAAACAGCTGTCTTACCAGTTTCTGGGTGACTCCAGGGGGAGCCCACTCATAGGTGATGGTATCAAAAGTGGGATCTTTCCCGGTGGCAATGGGGTTGGTCATGATCATCCGGTTCCTCTTGTAAATCCGGATGCCATCCCCGCCTTTCACCCGGGCGGTGAGGGTGGAGTACTTGGAGTCCATCAGCAGGCGGCCAATTTTCCGGTCATCTTCTAGGTCGGAGCTTAGGCAGTGGTCCTCCTGACTGCATTTGCACGACTTGCATATTTTCCTGGGGAGTGGGGACAAGTGACATCAACCTCTGGGAAAGAGAAGCAGAGTCTCCCCTTGGCACAGCATCTACCCTTTTGAAAGCAAGCGCCAAGCTTAACAGTAGTGCCTGGAAAAGGGTAGCAGCAGAGAAGCTATAACCCGAGACAAAAAAGCCTTTGGGATTTGGATTTGTATTTGGGAAACACCCCTCTGTAAGTCTGTTTGTGGGAATGTGGGGTGTGAATGTTGTGAAGCTTTGCAGTCCAAATTTGCTGGTAAGAAGAGTAGCCCCTTTTCCTCCTGGTGGTTGCCAGGGCAAAGGCTAATTCATTCATTTAAGATGCTGTTAGGCTAAAGTCTGTGCATTCCTGGACCTGAACCTGGCCCACAACTTGCTTTGTATAAATAAAATTTTATTGGAATACAGTCGTGATCATTCACTTGCATGTTACTGAGGCTGATTTGGGGTTGGAATGGTAGACTTGAGTAGTTACAGTAGTGATTACGTGACCCCCAAAGCCTAAAATATTTACTCTCTGAACATTTATAAGAAAGTTTATTAACCCCTCCTCTGAAGAATTGGTCTCTCAGGCTGGGACTGTAGCTCAGTGGCTTGCCTAGCCCATGTGAGGCACTGTGTTGTATCCTTAGCATCACATTAAAAAAAATTGAAAACAAATAAAATAAAGCATGCTATCCATCTACAACTACAAAAAAAAATTTTGTTTTGAAAATGGTCTCCTATTCTTCATGAGCCCCAGACCTCCAGCAACTTTCAAACTCTTTAGCACACACACTAAAGTGAGACTCCATTGGGAATTTTCTTTAAGAAATGTCATGACAGCCAGGTGCGGTGGCTAATATCTGTAATCCCAGTGGCTTGGGAGGCTGAGGCAGGAGAGCCTCAAGTTGGAGGCTAGATTCAGCTTCGAATTTACTGAAACCCTTAGCAACCCAGCAAGACGCTGTCTCAAAATAAAAAAAATAAAAAGGGCTGGGGATGTAAGCTGATGGTAAAGCACCCCTGGGTTCAATCTTGAGTATCAAAACCACCAACCAACATGTGCAAAGGAGGCTAAGGGAGAGATGAGCTGAGAGACTCCCTCCAGTTGGGAGACTGATGCTCTGTTCACTGGGAAGACTTTGGCAGGCGTCTGGGAGAAGAAAAGACATCTTGGGGAAAGTTCAAATTGCCTTGAAAGTCTGATGCTTCTTTCTGACAATTAAAGAGTGGCTGCTTTGTGTCACCGTGTTAAAGTTGAGAAATCCAGAGTTGCATAGTGTGAGGGCAAAGGTGCTCTCCTTCTATGGGCCTGTCACCATAAATGTGCTGTGCTGTGTCTCAAATGTTCTGATTTAAAAAAAAAAAAAAAAAAAGCATGCGATTTAAGAGCTTGTTAAGCAAAGTAAGCAATGTCAAGACCAGCTGTGGGGACAATGAAGGACTAAATAAGGGAGCTTTGCTGCAGTTGGGTCACAGCAAACCAGTCCCTGGGGCTCTCCTTTTTTATACCCAGCAAATTAATATGTTTGGTCAAATATCACAAATACCAGTTGTGGGGCCGACGGAGGCTTGCTTGCATGGATGGTCCACATCAGTAGTTCCCCAACCTAGATCAGTTCTGTTCCTCAGGGGCCACGTAGCCCACGTAGCCCATGCCATAATGAGGAACAAAGGGTGCTATTGGCATCTAGCAGACAGGAGCCCTAGATGCTGCAAAACCTCCTACAGTATGTAGCATGATCTCCCAACGACAAGGAATTATCAGGCTTAAATTGGCAATAGGGCTAGGGTTGGGAAGGCTTCATTTAACTGCAATCTTTAAGGAGCTTGAGGAAAGAAAGAAAGTGAAAAGCATATGGAAAAAAACTGAAAGTAGGATGGGTTGGGCTATGACCGAGTTGCATGAGACCTGGATAGTTTTGCTGGCCCCAGCCAGCTCCCCAGGGTGTGACTGGGTTGCACCTACATAAGGGCTGAGTGCTAGGTGGTTATGAGTTTCTAGAAGTGTGGGTTACAGTAGGTTAAACATCTTTCTTTGTGAAAGGCTACTGCTCCCTGTCTTTAATACACCACTATGCAGGGTGGCATTTTGGTGCTATTTGAGAAGCTTGCAGCCCAAGTTCACATTCAGCAGGCTGCAATGTGAGAAATGCTAAAACCATCAATTTCAAGGCTTCCTTCCAGCAGTTCAAAAGGGAAATGACCCTAAGGGTGCTGCAGGACAAACAAGAGAAGTCTTTCCTTTTGGGTCTCTTAAGAAGGGTTTGCTTGTTGTACAGAATAGGGAATGTTGGTTTTTTGTTTGTTTGTTTGGTTGGTTGGTTGGTTTTTTTGGTAGTGAGGATTTAAGCCAGAGGTACTTTACCATCGAGCCACATCCCCAATCCTTTTTATTTTTTATTTTGAGACAGGGTCTCACTAAGTTGTTTAGGGCCTCGCTAAGTTGCTGAAGCTGGCCTTGAACTTGGGATCCTCCTGCTTCAGCCTCCTGAGTCACTGGGATTACAGGTGTGTGCCACCATTCCCAGAAGGGAAATTTTATTCATGATCCATATTATACTCTTCCCTCTCCTTGGAGGAGCTGGGCAGAGACTAATTCTCTAAGAGTGCAGGTGATGGCTAGCACTAGAGCTTTACATGTGACAGTGAAAGCAACGGAATTGGGAGGGAGAGGAGGAGGAAAAAGGGAAGCAAAGGAAAGCCCAGGGTGGAGGGACACGGGTGTAGCCTGGATACCAAGTCCTCTGTGTCCTCTGTGACCCTTTTCTCTTCCCCATATCTTCCCTCCATGAAACTGGAAGAGGAAACCGCCCTTTGCTGTTTTGGTTAAGGTAGAATCCCAGGACTCTATTGGAGACAATGGGGATGCAAAACTGTTTCAAGTGGGAAAATGTTAACAAATCTGCGACATTCTTTGAGACTGTGTCCACCTTATTTCTCCTTTTCTTCATGCTCTTCACATGACCGAGCAATGAGGAAGACTCTCCTCCCACCCCACTCTTGCTCTTTGCAGCCACCCAGACTGTAAGAGACACAGACACATCCCCAAAGAACCTCGGTAGTGTTTGCAATCTGCAATCTTCATCCACAACCTGGGATTGAATCCCATCCTGTGATGACCAGCCAAGAGGCTTCCCTTCTAAACCAGGCTGGCTGGAGCCTGAGCTATGGAAATCTCTTTCAAACAACGGACAATATGAAAATGTTTGACAGCGTCTCCCAACTAAGGTTGTACAATATCACGACTTCAATAAGGGTGGAATTCGGGTGCCTACTACGGTGGCAGCAACCAACAGACCATCTTGATATTCAGGACCCACAAGATGCCATCTGTATATTCCAAAGACAGATTCACTTGATGTCCGAATYGTTTCCAGGGTAAGGAGGCCACAGATTTAAACAACAGACTTCTTCCAGCCATGAGGAACAGAGTCAAGAACTATTCTTGCATAAACCATTGGAAGAGCTGATRAAATGCATTAAAAGACTGTTTTTAGATGGTAGGTAATAGGCCGCTCAGGACGAATCCCTGAGATGAGGGAAAGCAGGATTCAATTCACTTGCTGGCTGTAATTTGGGGAACATTCTCCATCTATTCCAAGAACTGTACAAAGAGACTTCCTAGCCTTCTTCACGGAGCTGAAAAGAACTGAACCTTGTCCGAGACCCTGAGGAAAGAAGCTTTGGTACCAGTGGCGTTGAGATGATATGTAAGCTGATTTTTTTTTTTCAAGATCAGGAAGAGCCCAAATGGCCAAAATGGAAATGCAGGGCTCTGTCCCTCCCAGGATGTTTTAGTTGTAGGAGGAAATTTTTCAAGGAATGTGAGCCAGGATGAGATGACCTTGAAGACCTTTTCCATCAGAAGACCTAGAGGGCTCTCCAGGAATGCAGTCCACAGATGGACTCCTGCTTGGAAAGCTCCTAGTTCACCATATCGAAGACCTGAATTCAAATCCTGCCATTTAGTTCCTGTCTCCCCATCCACCACCCACAGGATCCTGATCTGCTGAATGGAGAGAGTAACATCTGCCGCTCAGGGTTATTTCAACTGGGAAGATTTCACTCAGCTCATGTCAACAGCCTCTTTGAGGAAACACCTTGTAAATGTTGATTCCTCCACCCAGTGTCCAAGGTGACACAATGGCTTTGATCACAGAAACTCCTTGCTTGTTACTGTCTTTCACAGAGCTTAGCCTCCCTCTCTCAGGGCTGCAGGTGGTCACACAGGCTGTGCCCTGCACAACTCCATCCCTATAGATACTGAAATGAATACCACTGGGGCCTTCTGCAATGTGGCAGCCTCACCATGTTGTCAGAATCTTTGGTGAAAAGAAAGAAAAAACTCTGCAAACCCAGCTGGATCCTGTGGGTCCTCCTGCCCACATGTGAATACCAGGTCCTGGTTTTGAAGTTCTGTGGGCAGAATGGCTTTTACTTCCTGCGGGGGCCACTCACAGACCCAAACTTACCAACCAGAATGATGGTGTAGTGGAGTCAGTGAGATTAATCCCCTCCACCAAGCCCCAGGGCAGGCAGCCCTACCCTCTAAGTCTCCCCTGGCCCCATCTTCCCAGATCAATCCTTGCTGAGCTGGGCTCGGTGGCCTCACCCCTTGAAACTAAGCTCCCCCCCCCCTTCAGATCTTTGTTCCCCAAGGCTTTTTTCTTGTTCCTGAATTGGGACAGGCAGGAGAACCCTCCCTCCCCAGCCATCCTTCCCCAACAAGCAGTGCTCCCTAAGCCGTCCCAGCAGAGAACCACCAGAAAGGACAGCCAAGAAGTGAAGGCAGGCAGGGTCCCCCCAACAAAACCTGTTACCTCCATGAATGTGGCTCGAAGCCTGAACACATCCCCTTACATCTCAGACAAGTCACGCTTCGTGCCGCCTGCTGCTGGCCCAGGGACATCTGGAAAAGGAGAGAGAAAAGAGAGTGTTTTCCTCCCAGACACCTTGGACTGGAGATGCTTGACCTCTGAAAGCCTTGGCATGCCAGCAAAAGGACTGAACGGGGTTCAGAAGACACCAGATCAATAAGCCATCACTAGCTGTTTACCAGGGAGAGGGAAGAGCAGCTGGGAACGGGGCCACAGTGCAGGCAAGTGTGAAGGGTGAGGCTCCTCCCAAGAAAATTGCAACTGGTACTCATTCCCAGGCTCCGGGACAGTCCCCGAACACCAAGCCTGGCTGGAAAGGCTGTGCCGTGAGTGACCATCTGCTGCTCACCCACCCGCCCACTCCTTGATCCACTTGTCACCAGAATGACATCTTCCCACTCAGTGCCTCCTCTTCCCCATTGACTTCTGATTTATCAATAGAATTGATTAAACCAGAGCTACAGGCCTAAGTATACATGCTGCCAAATGTTTATGGCTTAGAGCAAACCTTAAGTATTTTGTTAACACACTGAAAAATCTCCCGGGCATTTACCATAAAAATCTCCTTTGGAAGGAGAACAATGCACACCACAGGTTTGATCAAAGTGCGTTTGCCTGCTGCTGCTGCTAGGTTTGGACCTGAATGGGGTCTTAAACAAGCAGCCTCACAAAGAAGCTTGCTAAAAATGGTAGACCTGCATGTGCTGCTGCCATTTATTGAGCATCTACTGTGTACCAGGTGCAGGAGATATAACATAAGCTTCAGGGGTGCCCTAGAGCAACTCACAGTCTAGGGGAAAGCGAAGAGGGAAACATACTTGTCACCTTGGAAGCCCTGAGGAGGAGGAAAGGAGGCTTCTCCTCTTGCAAGCTACAGGCTTCAAAGACTGAGATACCAGAATGCAAATCTAACTTTTGGGTTGCATGTAGCTTATTGGTTGCACGGTGTTGGAAAAACTGAGCCTCAGTTTCTTTACCTACCCAATGGGTTTAGAGATAATATACATGAAATACCAGATCATATTAGGCACGAGAAATGGAACCACTATTAGTTTGCACATAGACTTCAGAAGTACAGAGAAAGGTGTCAATAAATCCATACAGAGAGGATCAGGGAGGCTTCTTGATGTGACTTTGGATTTGGTCTATGCAAATGAACAGGCAGAAGAGGAGACCAGAAGATGCCTGCAGAGGGCAGAGAACAGGCAAGGGCCAAACAGTAGCAAAAAAGGTGCAGTGGGAGGGGTATGGAGATCTGAGCATGCTCTTTGCAACACTACTCTATTGGGTTTGCTTTGAAAGGGGATAAAAAGCAAGCTGTGAAATTCATGAAGCCTTCCTCATGGTCAGTGCTAGAATCCAGAGAGAGATGTAAGAACTGTTACCCTTCACAGTACTTCTTTTCTGTACCCTAAGACTCCCCATGATAATGCCAAGCTGGACACCCCTACTGGCTACCTGCCGATTGTGCCATGTATCATGCTGCGCTCTTCTGTTGTGCACATTCAGGCTTTAGGGAGCAAGACCCAGACTGCACATATCTGGAGTGGAGTGTGTTCATGCTTGTCTCAGTATTAGATCCACATTAAACATGAGAATAACTTTAAAAAGCTGGGCACGGTGGCGCACACCTGTAATTCTAGCAACTCCAGAGGCTGAGGCAGAAGGATCACAAGTTTGAGGCCAGCCTCAGCAATTTAGTGAGGCCCGAAGCAACATAGTGAGGCCCCGTCTCAAAATAAAAAATAAAAAGGGGCTGTGGATGTGGCTCAGTGTAGAGTACTCGTGGATTTCATCTCCAGTACAAAAAAAAAAAAAAAAAAAAAACACCAAAACAACCCACTAACTCCTCATTGCCCTAAGTGGGGGAGCCTCCATTCATAGGCAGAATTTTACTCCCTAAGGGCTGGGGTTATGGCCCAGTGGTAGAGCACTTGCCTAGAATGTGTGAGGTACCACATAAAAATAAATAAATAAAATAAAAGCATTGTGTCCACCCACCATTAAAATACAAGAGTCTTGTTTTCTAAAGCCTTTGGAATCTAGTGTTATGAGCTTCCACCTCTTCTTCTTGGCACCTTGAATTCTACTCATTGAAATGCATAGATCTTTCTACACTTAATCCTTGAGAGATTCCAAAGTTACTTTGGGAATTACCTCATTTACAAACAGGGCTTCAGAACAGAAGAGACCTGGAAGCATTTTGTGCGGCCCAGCCCCTGGCTTGCCTGAGCGCAGTTGTTGTTCCAAGAGGAGGCACTGAGTCGTCCTCCTAGGAGGGGATGGGTCCTGATGCTTGGCCTGGATTGCTGCCCTCCGCTGCCTCAGGGTTTGATTGAGCAAGAGTGAGGCAAGGAGGGTGGTACTGCAGGCCCTCAGCCTGTGATGCAGGGCACCAGCCTCCGGGGCCGGCACTGGCATTTATTAGCTCTGCAACTGAAGGCAAAGGCACATCTTGGCCCAAACTAGAACTTCATAAAATGAGAAAACTGGCCTGGTTCRGAGTTGCCTAATTCTATTCTGAAGGGATGCTCATCTCTAATCCACTGACTTATCTATTATTTTTAGTATGCAATTTTATGATGTTTTTCCATATTTTTTTTATTGGAGCATGACTGTTGTACATCATGTTGGGATTTGTTGTTACGTAGCCGTACAGGCACACAATCTCACAATATAATTTGGCTAACATCATTCCCCGGTATTTCCCCTTTTCCCTCCCCTTGGTCCTTTCCTCTACTGATTTCCCTTTGAGTTTCATGAGATTGCCCTCACCTTCCTCTTCCTATTTCTTCTCTACAAGAGAAAACATGACCCTTGACCTTCTGAGTTTGGCTTATTTCACTTAACATAGTGTTGTCAAGTTCAGTCCATTTTCCTGCAAATGATATACTTTTGTTTTTCGTTATGGCTGACTAAAACTCTGTGGTATATCTATATCACATTTTCTTTAACCATTCATTTATTGATGGACACCTAGGCTGGTCCCACAGTTTGGCTGTTGTGAATTGTGCTGCTATAAACATGGGTGGGTGCGTGCACCGCTGTTGTCCGATGACTTTAATTCTTCAGGATAAATACTGAGGAGCGGTAGAGCTGGGTCCTGTGGTGGTTGCATGCCTAGTCTTTTGAGGAACCCCCATACTGATGTCCATAGCAGTTATACTCATTTACAATCCCACCAACAGTGTAAAAGTGTTTCTTTTTCTCCCTGGCAGGATGCTTAGTTTGTGAGATGTTACAAAGTGGTTCCTGGTTGCAGATGGGAAGGAGGATTACACCAGCAAATAAAAGTGGCAGCACTAGCTGAGCAATGGCTTCCCAACCTTTGGGGTGCCAGCCTGTGCTTCTAGAAGCAAGGAGAGAGGTGGAGAGCAGGCGGCTGTTTCAAGTGGGAAGACCCAGGCTCTGGTACCAGGCTGCTCAGGGTTTCTGCTCTGGCTGAGCCAGTGACTAGATTTGGTGATTCTCTGTGTTCTCACTGTGTATGGAGGTGACAGGAACCCAGCTTTCCTTTGAAGGTTACATGAAGGAAAGGACTTAGCACACACTTATTATGCACTTGGTGTTTATTATTGCTATTGTTACTCCTTATGAAAAAATGGTTTGAGAGACCTTGAACTTGATGTTCTCAAAGCATCCCCCCCACCCCAGCTTTATATTTTTTTAAATTTTTTTTTAGTTGTGGATGGACACAATACCTTTATTTTATTAATTTATTTTTGTGTGGTGCTGAGGGTCAAACCCAGTGCCTCACATGTGCTGGGGCAAGTGTTCTACCACTGAGCCACAACCCCAGCCCCAACTTTAGTTTTCTAAGGAACTTCGGAGGAAGTTGTTTTCTAACTGCACACTCCAGTTAGACAATATTTTACTATTTTTCCCCCTGTATATAAGTTTTGCCTCTCTGGCTAGATTTTTATAAAAGCAAAAAAAAAAAAAAAAGACTTACACACATTCTGTAATTTGCAATTACCTCATTATCAAAGCTGTCTCTAGGCTTTGTCCCGGTAGTGATGTACTCCTCATCCACCTGAATAAAATCAATATTACAAATCCCCCAAACACCGAGAAAGCTCAATGGAGTCAGGCAAGTGACAGTCAGGAGATCCAGCCTATTTGGGCCAGATCCTTAAACTACATGTGGGTATAGAAAGCAGAGAGTTGGTCCTAGCATACATCCTGCTAATGGGACAGCTTCCATGCCAATAGAAATCTGYAGGAGAGAAAAATAAATGGCCTTACAAGGAGAAATAGATTGGGCCATCAAGCCACACTTGCACCCAGTTTGGGGCTGTTTAACACAATAAATAGTCATTTATTCATTGCATGCCATTTATCCAAGAGTCAGACAGGCCCAACTGTGTTCAGTGAAGAGAGAAATGATGATCTTATTTATTGAGGAAGGGAAAAAATCAGCCAGAAGTAGTATTCCAAGCAAGACCCTCTGTTAGTGGCTTTCTCTGATGTGGACTCTATGTTTCTTGCCAGAGAGCAGACATGGGGCCCCGCAGCATCTCCCAGTAGTTGACTGAGATGAACTTAAAAGGAACCATTAATTCTTGAGTGTGGTGATGTACACCTTTAATCCTAGTGACTAGGGAGGCTGAGGGAGGAGGATCACAAGTTCAAGGCCTGCCTCAGCAACTTAGCAAGGCCCTAAGCAAATCAGCGAGACCCTGTCTCAGAGTTAAAAAAAAAAAAAAAAAAAACCCAAAAAACTTAAAAAAAATCAAAAGGACTAGGAATATAGCTCCGTGGTTAAGTGCCTCTGGGTTCAATACTTAGTAGCTTAACCCCCTGCCCCGCCCCCCCCAAAAAAGTGGTCTTGAAATGTAGCACCTACTCTGTCCTTTCTCCTGAGAGGCAGAAAAAGAAATGTTCTGACAGTTTTTTGGGGGACTCATGTAGATAGGATGTGGGTTCATCTGATGTCACCAAACTGAATCATGTCAGAGGACTTAAATCAGATGGGTGAGTCCTGGGGATGCAAGGAACAGGGGCAAAGTTAGGAGTGTTCCTTGGACAGTGG